CGTCCACGTGCCGGGACCCACCCCAGCTCCGTGGCTCAAGCAGAAGGTGATTGGTGGGAACCCAAATCTTGGATGGACTCGTCCACGTGCCGGGACCCACCCCAGCTCCGTGGCTCAAGCAGAAGGTGATTGGTGGGAACCCAAACTTTGGATGGACCCGTCCACGTGCCGGGACCCACCCCAGCTCCGTGGCTCAAGCAGAAGGTCACTGGTGGGAACCCAAAATTCAGATGGACCCATCCACGTGCCATGACCCATTCCCAGCTCCGTGGCTGAAGCATGAGGTAGCTGTGGGCACCCCAGACCACGTGCCACGGTCATTCCCTGTTTCCGTGGCTTGCGTTGGCGATAATAGCTTGGATTGGAGAGAAGGGAGGAACCCAAACCTTGCGTGGGCTTCTCCACGTGCCAGGGCCCACCGCCAGCTCCGTGGCTCCAGCGTGAGGTAGTTGTGGGGATCCTCAACCTGGCGTGAACCACCCACGTGCCGTGGCCCTTCCCCGGTGTCATGGGTTGGGTTGAAGAAACCCAAGACCTGCGTGGCCTCATCCCACCTTATGTTTGAGCTGGAAGCCGCAGCGAGACCCTCCTGTCCCTGGGAGGTGCCTGAGGGGTGTCACACCCTCCCCCGGCTCCGTACCTGGCAGGAATCGATGCCGCCCTCGGGGACACCGGCGCAGAACATGTTGGGGGTGATGGCGTTCCCGTACACCCTGGCGCACCTGCCCCAGTCGAAGGTTTGGATGGCGGCACACTGCAAGTTTCTGGGTAGCTTCGCTGTGGAATGGGGTGGGGATGGAGAGAGAGAGAGAAGGTGAGAAGGGGCTTAACGCTGAGACCTGAGCAGACCTCGTTACGCTTTCGGTAGGGTTCTCTGGGAGGTGGACAACGGAGATGGCTCTGTTGGAGATGGGTTGGTCAATGCAAAGCAGACCCAACCCAACACGAAGGAGACCCAACCCAACATGAAGGAGACCCAAGACAACACAAAGACCCAACTCAACATGAAGAAGACCCAACCCAACACGAAGAAGACCCAACCCAACATGAAGAAGACGCAACTCCTACGGAAAAACTCAAGTAGGAGATGTTCTCTGTGGGCATCTGCTCATTTGGTGACATCCAGGTGACACCAAGGAAGCCCTTGGCCTATTTTCCCAGCCGAGAAGATCGCCTGGCCTCCTTGGCAATCCCACGCCCCTCACCCCATTGCCTCCCCCACCCCATGCCGAGGTCTCCACCACAAGCCAGTACCTCCAGGGGACTTAGTTGTGCCCCAGCCAGAGACACTGCACTTCATTCCGCCCACAGGACACCGCCTGGGTAATCGGATCATCTTGACTCCGCTGCCGAAACGAACAGGCTGGTCCAACTTCAGGAGCATGAAGTCGTTGTCGTTCCTGTAGGGGTTGTATCCCGGATGGGTGGATTTCTTTATAATATTCCTCCATTGTCCTGTCCCGTCCCGTAACGTGTCCGTCCCGATTAACACCCGTGTGTTTTTTCTGGGAGAAGAAGGTGTAGAAATTAATGTTGGCGCCTCCGGAGGAGACACGCAAAACTCTGGCCTCAAGGGTTGTCCATCAAGGAGATGATCAAGACCTTGAAGCTTCTCCACATTCACCGGGCAGAGTTAAGGTGGCCGTTGGGACCGTCCCATCCCATTTTTCTTGGGGTGGGGGCTGGGAAAACACACCCAATGCCTTGAGGATTCATGAGCCAGCTCTGGTCCAAGAGTTCTTTGATGGCTCAAGGAACCCTGGGGGCATCTCCCATCTCCACAGGAGACTGTTGTGTCTCTTTTCAACTCCATGACTTCAGTTCCCGGACTCCAAGAGTCCCACGTGCAACATCTCCGCAACATTACCCTCAGCCCAGGTTCTTTCCAACTTTTCCTCCACTTATCCCATCCAGAAGGTCCAGTTTGCTCTCGCAGGACCTTGCGGAGAAGCTGGAGAAACTTCACCGAGGTGGGACCTTCTCCGCTTAATGTCCCCACTGAGAAAAAGGGGGTGACTGGACCTCAAAGTAGGGGGAGGTTGCCTCCCTTAGGAATTCGTCCCGGAGGTTGTCACCCTGGCACAGGACACGTCAGCTCCTCCATCCTCCATGGAGAGGGTGGCTGTGCTTTCCTTGCCCATCCAGACACCAACATCTGGAGGTAGCCATGCCTGGGACACCAACAGCTGGGACACTGGCCACGGGACACTGAATTCTGGAGGTAACATCTGGGCTCCAAAGATCCGGACATACCAACCTCTGGATACCTCAGGAGCTACCGGCCTCTGGAGCTCCCAAGCCCTGGAGGCACCAGGAATGTCAACATCTAGAGGTGTTCACATCGGGAGTTGCCAACATCTGGAGGCATCACCCTCTGGAAGGGACAACATCTGGCCACTAAGACTTGGAGGACCCACCCTTGGTCACGGAGGGGTCCTGGAAAAGGAGACGTTGGCTACGGGGAACAGGAGCTTACGTTAGTGCCCGCCCGCAGTGAGCGGCTGTGAGGACCCATCGGCTGGCTACTAAGCTCCCCCCACACAGGATGCCAGCGTTCTTCACGAGGGCAACTTGGAAAGGGCGTTGGAAGATGGAGCAGG